TCCTATCCTGTTGCTAGAGGAAGTTCAGAACATTTTTTATTTTTTATTTTCTATTTTTTATTTTTTATTTTTTAATTTTTTAATTTTTTCTTAATTTTTTTAGTGTTGGTTGGATGGACCACGGATCAGATATTAAACTGATCAGAACAGATACTACACTTGATCTTAGCCAAAAGGCCGAGAAAACTTCTCCCAGGATTGCTTACTAGGGGAACGTTGGCGTAGACCTACACTACAGACTGTACACGGTAACGGGGACTCCAAAAAACAGAGGATCAGGGATGGCTCTCTCTCCCTCCTCCTGTCTGCTCTGCATACTGGCACAAGTCAGAGCTTCTGCCGTGGCACTCCTTCTCTGCTCACTCTTGTGGCTCCCTCATAGTCATGCTGCTGTCTCTCTACCTAGATACGAAATTGGAGTTGGAGTTTCCGATGGTGACGACCCTCAAGGTTTCACTGCAAAGAGCATGGGGAAAGCAACTGCAATTCAAAGGGAGAGACTTGAGGAGTTGGGACACCCGGAAGCGAGTTTGCTGAATTCAACGAACGGAGGACCAGCAGTGCAGAGTTCTCAAGGTGGCGAAGTGAGTCCAAGGATCTCTACAGGAGCGGAATCATCATCGCAAAGTCCAGTTAGTACGCCAAAAGCCACGTCTCCCACCATGCAAAGTCTACAGTCGTCATCGCAAAGTCCAGTCATTACGCCAAAAGGAAAGTCTCCCTCCAAGCAAAGTCTCGAGTCGTCATCGCAAAGTCCAGTCATTACGCCAAAAGCCACGTCTGCCTCCATGCAGAGTCTCGAGTCGTCTTTGCAAAGTCCAGTCATTACGCCAAAAGCCACGTCTGCCTCCATGCAAAGTCCCGAGTCGTCATCGCAAAGTCCCGTATCATCATCATTATCACAAGGTTCCCTGCACTCGTGGAAGTACTGGTTACAACAATTGTATGTTATCATCCCAGCTGCAAAAAAGAAAAAAAAAGAAAAAAAAAAAGGCCGAGAAAGAGCATGGCCAGGTGAAAATAAAGGGGGCCGTGACCGAGTGGCGACTAGGGGGCGCGTTCTACACTCCTCGGGCCCCGAGGACGATTCCTTGGAGTTGTTGGGGGATTTCGACGCCTTCGTTCCACTCATCCTCGGAGTCGGCCCCCGAGGACGATTCCTCGGGGCTCCTGCGGCCAGATTTATATGCGTATTAGTGGCCGCGGGATGTGGGTCCCACGGCCTGTCTTCAATTGTGTCCGTCTGGATTGGTGTGGTCCAGCTTTTTGGGCCGCCGTGCAAGAAATGACGTCGCTGGAAAAAAAAAAAAGGGCCTTCGAGAAGGCGCGCAAGGGAGGAATTCAAAATTTGAAAATTCGAAATGTCCACGTGCGAGTGGAGGCGGGCGACGGACGT